TGGCTGATTCCAAAGAATATAGCCGACCTTATTCAAAGAAACAAGTGCCGGCTAGTCTCACGCCAAAATCCAGAACTTAACTAAATACCGACCGAAAACCCTTACTTGGCCGACGTCTATACTAGCTGACCCAATCAAATCAGGCCGACCTCAACTTACAGCCAAGTAAAGCTAATTTCAACGTATAAAAGAAAGAAGCCGACCTTTGGTGCAAGAAGGATTGCAGGAGGAGAGAAGTGCCGAACTGTGAAAGCAAAGAGAAGTCGCTCAATATGATGACAAAATTGATAAAACAATCAGAGCAAGAGAAAGGCAGCAGGCGTCAATAATAACAAAGGCCGACCTCCGGAAATCGAAGGAAGCCGACAATAATAAAGGATAAATACACCGACCTCAAGTAGCTCTAATCAAATAAGCTAACTCAAAAAATAAGCGAGAATAAAACGCAACAAAAAAGGAGTATGCCCATCTCACCTTCACTCAGAAATCACGCCAATCACACTCAATCAAACTTTGAACGAAAGACACGCGCCCTCAAAAATCAACCCTCAATCCTTCGGTATTCACTGAAATTCTGGAGAACACCGACCAGTAACACCAACGACGACCGGAGTGAAAAGGAAAAATGCCGACTACACCTATCGAAGATACCACACAGAATCTCCTCCAACATCGCACAAAATCCCACAAAAACAAGTCGAGATTGAGAACAATCGGCAATAACCAGTCATCGACCAACCTCGCAAAAACAAGCCGAGATTGAGAACAATCGGCAATAACCAGTCGACGACCAACCAATCTTCTCCATCTACCAATCTGAAATATGCCGACCATCTCAAACAAGAAGCAGCGCCGATCACATTGAACGAGAACTTTAGCAGGCACGGGGCGGCAAAACAGAGATCCCGAATAACTCGCCAACTTCCCTGCCAACGAACACCAGCAGCTTTCGGCAGTCCAGATTCGGCGAAGTAAAACCCCGAAAATCAAACACCTAGATCCCTCATCAATCGTCGAACCAAAATGACGCAAGTGAAGCAGAAAGTCAGGAGCTTCACTACGAGTCGGTGCCGATGTCAAACAGCAGCCCGTGAAGTTTCAGATCGACGATGCAAACAGCTCGTGATTCTACGGTGGCCGCAGGACCAAAAATCAAAGAAAAACCAGAACCAAATCGAGAAAATAGAAAAGAGAGAAGAAGAAAGATATACCTTTGTAATGAACAGTGCCAAGTAAGAGAAGAAAAGCAGGAAAAGAGAGGAGAAAGAAGTATTTATAGCTGAAAGAAAGAGGGGGAACAACTTAACTTAAAAACAAAGCCGGGACCCACGTTCGTACCAACAAAGCCGTACACGGACCCACTCTGAGCCGATCCTGATTCACGCCGAGTTAATGAATTCGAAGAATCCGTTGACTCAAGGTCAAGACTTTTCGTCAAACGGACTGGTGGGGGACTTACTGTTGGTACCAGGCCTCTTCAAGGCCCAATTAATTAGTTCGGCCCGAATTAAGCTTTAGGCCCAAGAAAGAAGAAAGAACTTTCGGCCTAGATTCGAGAATAAAGCTCAACAGTGTCAGCTCGGCCCAGATTCGAGAATGAAACCCAAACAGCGTCAGCTTGGCCCAAATTCGAAGATGAAGCCCAACAAGGTCCATTCTAACAGAAAGCCCGCGAAGCCCAATGAAGCCACCGCCCTATTTTACTATAAATAGGACCGTAACCCAGTACGAAAAGGACATTTTTTCTCTGGATTTTGCGGAATTAAGCTCTAATTACGTGTCTAGCTTCCCATTTTCTGTAGCTTCTCACTTTGCTGAGGTTCTCATTTTCGATCTTCTCATTCGGGAATCCCTTATTCGGGAATCCCCTTTTTAATACTTTTTCTCAGTCTCGTTTTGTAATCGATCAGCTCGTATCATTAATAAAGAACATATTACCCAGAAGTTAGATTCTAGTAACCAACACAACCCATTCTCGAGTCTTTTGGTCTCCTTCATGCTGTGATAATTGAATCTTGTTCTTGGTGGTGTTATTGTTAAATGCCAAGTTGTTTGAGTTAGATATATGCAACCTAATGAGAGCTATTATCAGCCTAATTTCAGAAATGAATTTACATGGCTTAAGATAGCCAGATTCTTTACGTGGAAAGTTAACATCTTGTAACTCGAAGTTGAACTTTTCTCAAATGTTTAGCAGTTGAACTTTTCTCAGAAAACGGCTGCCATTCACTGAGTTTTATTTTTTTCACCATTCTTCATTATTTTCTAATGATTTCTGTCAAGTTTTTATCCAAAATTTATAGATCTGTAAAGAGATCTTATTTAAGCGAAACGAATACAAATATGAATTTTTTGCTAACATTTTCGAATTTTCAACCGATTTGGTTGACATCGCGGCGGTCGGGAGCCACCGAACGCTTTTACTCTGACTAATCGATCGCGGCGGCTGCGTTTTCGATCAGGGGCAGTGGGTAATCTGCCAATATTTAAATTAAAATAATATATATTTTATATAATTTTTAGTAAAAGATATTTGATAAAAAAATCTAATATGATAACATATAAATATGAAATTTATTTTTGAAATCTAAAATAAAAATGTTAGCTAATTTTTATATATATTGCAAAATATTTCAAAACTTTCAACATATTTTATATAAAAATATTAATTTTGTTTTAGTTAGCGGGTAACCCCCAAACAGAAATAGTAAAAATAAAATGAAAAAGAGAACTTATCTAGTTTAGGTGCAAAACCACAACCTTATGTCTAGACGAGGATTCTTTGGAATTCACTAAGATCAGTCTACAAAGAATTATGGTGAGCATATATATATATATTTTTAATAAACTCTGTCCGCTGATCCGGTTAGTCCAGGTAGGAACACATCGAAATGCTTTAGTATGGACTTCTCCCTGGTTCAACGGAGGTGGGCATATGTTGATGTCAATTATGGTGGAATAACAAGTTTGTTGTTATGGTTCCAAGACATATTTTCCACTACCACATGATGTTAGTCATTACACTTGTACAGTTGCATCCTTTCCTCATTATAGTTAGTCTTGTTAAAGTATTCCGTCTTAAGGCATCCTGTAATTGCAATTTATCCAGCCATGTTATGGTTTTTGCCAATGAACTTGATTGTAGCGAGACAAGTTATGTTGTTGCGTTCCAGCGACATAATTGTAAATGCATCTATGTTCAAATGAGGATATGGATTAAGCTAAAAGTTTAGTATTTACTACGCAAGAATTTATACTGTTGTTTCAGAAAAATACTCGGCTTAGCTAGGTAAAGTTTATAGCTGATCATTAATTTCCTGTTTCTATATTATATCTTGATTTAAGAATTTTATCTTGTCGTTATGATCTATTCGATGGATTCATTTGTGTCTTTCTTGAAAAGATCTTAGCTTCTTAGACCATGTGCAATGCGGTTTCTTAAAGAGAGTATTTTAGAGCAACCCCAATAGTAACGTTATTGATATAGATCTTAATGATTAATTTATTAATATTTGATAGATTTTTTTTTTCGTATTATTATTTTTTTGGTTCATTCACATGTCTGTTCTTAAACTAAGAAAAGAGATTCTATTTTAGACCATCATCTAAAAGATTAGACATTCTATATAATATTTTAATTCAGTTATATTACTAAAAACTTATTATTAGATCCCTGTAGATATGCATTAGGTTGGTCTTAGAGCACTACCATCGGTGAGATACTCATTTACAGTATCTAAATATTAAAATAATTAATATTTTGATTTATTGTTTTATGTTATTTAATTGTTTATTATAAAAAAAAAACTAACCGATGAGAAGATGGTAAAGGCTGAGATACGCTTCTCAACATTTCTCAAACGAGATACGTTTCTCGTTTCTCTCTCCTGTTTTTCATTTCTTTTTAATAATTTAATGTCTAGATACTCGTTTAGATACTATGAATGGAGATGTTTTTAGACCATCTCCATCGATAAATTTTTATCTCAGTATCTTATTAAAAAATATTAATATAATAATAAAAAGTTAAAAAAGAAGGAGAAACAGTTTCTTAAATTGATTAAACAAGGAACGTTTGTAAGCTTTTTAACAAACTCATTTAATATGTGTGCTTTTATGATTAGTTTAGATTTTTTTATTATTTAAAAACTAATTTTTTTTAGATACTCCAAAGGTTGTTAACTGTTAAAGATGCTCTTAGTATTAAAAAAAGAGAAAAAAACAAAAAGTTAGAAAAATTATGAAAGAGAAAGTTCTAAAATCTTTCATATAAGAGCTGATCTTAAGCTTTTAAAAGACTCATTTATACAATTGTCTTGTTTTGATTTGTATAATTTCTTTTAAATATTAAAATTTAATTATATATCTTAAATTATAATAAAATAATTGTTAAGATACTTGTTTTAAAAATTCCTATAGATCGTGAATATTCTAATAGCATCTCCATCGGTTGGAGACTCAAATTGAGTATTCAAATATTATAAAATTAATATTTTTATTTTATTTATTTTTAGATTTAAATTATATTCTAAAAAGGAAAGTACACAAATCATTAAATGACAGGTGTATTGAAAAATTAAGAGACGTATCTTAAACTTCCTATATAACATACGTTGCTTCTTTCTCTGTCCTATTAATTAATTTTTTTAAATACTTTAATGTTTAGAAACTCTTTTAAATACGTTCGATGGAGATGGTCTAAGTATTGCTAAAACATACTTACATGATACATGCATAATGTCAACATAACTTTATAAAATATCCCTAAACAGTCATTGTAACAACAATTTGGCAAGCAAGCCTTAATTCATATTGACATTCATGAAAGTGTCGATGTTAATATCAAATGAACCGCATTCAACAACTACACCTAGACAAGTCTAACTCAGATCAGAAGCTCTTCTTCTCTTCTCGTTCAATAAGATGAATAAAGAAGATCCATAACATTCAACTGTAACAACAACAATGTGCCAAACAACAACAAAACCTCACTGAGACTCTTAAGTTGAATCGATAATATCCCTAATGAAAGCGTCGATGCTAGCATTAGACGAACCGCTTCCTGCAACAGCTCCTCTACAAATCTCACTGAGGTCAAAAGCCCTTCTTCTCATCTCCTTCCCTTCTTCACTCTCTCCATCCATTAACCTCTTCACTACTTCCTTGATCTCGTCTCTCACTATCAACAACTCCGTCTTCTTCCTCCTCTCGATCTTCACCCCGACCTTCCACTCCTCAACAATCATCTTAGCGTTCAGAATCTGATCCCATAACAGCGGAAAAGCCAGCATCGGCACACCAGAGTATATCCCTTCCAATGTCGAGTTAAACCCACAATGCGTCCAAAACCCGCCTACAGCTTCGTGGCTCAGCACACGGAGCTGGTCGCACCAGCTCACTACTATACCTGAGCTACCTTTAAGAGCCTCCTTCATCTTCGACTCGCTCCCACGAGCCACCCAAAGGAACCGGACTCCGCTCTGTTTCACTCCCACCACTATTTCCTCCATCTGAGCTTCCGAAACCGAAAGAAAACTCCCCTGAGATATGTAAAGAACAGAGCTTTCCGGTTGCTTATCAAGCCACTGGATGTAGTCAGGTTCGCTGCCGTCATTTCCGGCGATGAGTTCTTCGAAAGGTATTAAAGGACCAGTGGCGTAAACCGGGATATCGAGCTTGGAGGTGAGAACGTCAATGGCTTTAGGTTCGAGTTCATAGGCGGTGGTGAAAAGAAGACACTTAGCTCTCGAGAGCTCCTCGAAACACAACTTGGCTACCTTGAAGACTCGGTGGTTGTAGCTGTCGAATAATGGCGGAAGATCCCGGAGCTTCGTTGGAGCTAAACCAGGGATGTAGTCTACAATTTCATCTTCTTTTGATTCTAGAACAATAATCAAATTCAAGTTAAAGTATAGATTTTTAAAAGCTTTCTACGCTATCTAAGTTATAAAGGAGAGATTTTTGCTATTTGAAACTGAAGCTATTAAGTGGGTTTTTACCTGAAGGTTCGAACAGAGCATGGCCGTGACTTATGAGTAGATCGGAGTGAAGGAAGAGGGAGAGAATCGTCGCCGACATAGTCCACAGAGAAACCACCGGAGTATTCCTTCGTTCCCCGACACGCACCGCCCATATGACGTAAGTGTCGGCGATGATTGCGGTCGGAGGCGGAGAACTGAGGCGGTCAAGCAGCCGCTCGAACGGCTCCTCCAATCTGGTATACACGGCGTCGACGAAGCCGTTGAAGTCTTTGGCTCGGACGAGCTCCGAAGGGATGAGATTGGGGAGTGTGGCGAACTGGATCATGTCGGGTTTCGGGTCGGATCCGATAAACCCGAGCCATTCTTCGGTGACGACGAATGTGACTGTGAGGTTTGAATATCGGCGAACGAGGCGTTTGCAGAGGTTCATCATCGGGTTGATGTGGCCTCTTCCGGGCCAAGGCATGGCCACCACGTGGAGGAATCTGACTGGCTGAGATGCGATTGGTTCCATAGGATGCGGGAGTGTTTGAATCTCTGGTTACTGCTGTGAGTAAGGAGGTGAAGAGCGCTTTAAAACATGAAGAAACGTGGTCCAGTGTTTGGTCAATGCTTAGTAGAGGTCATTGCAAAGTTCATATTTTCTTCTTTTCGATAAGACAAACAGTTTTCTTTTTGTGGGTAAGATTTTCCCACGTATCGTGATTAATCCTCTTTTGAATGTTACGTTACATACACTACAAACAAAACAAGGTTTTGAAAGAAATATTTACATGTCTGACCCAAAAAAAGTAATATAGGAATCTTTATCCTTTTGGGCGAGTATAACGTGTCATAAAAATGGTGGTGGTCCACTTTTTCTTAAAATCAGCTATATAACTAATCTGTATTAATATTTTGGTTTAATTTTTTTAGATACTATTTCTAAAATTATTCAAAATATAATATATTTATAAAAAAAATTATTTATATAAAAAAAATTAATATATAATATATAATTTATCCTATTTTAATATATAAATTTTAAAAACTATTAGATAAAATAATAACAATGACACCTATCGAATTATCCAACTTTGACGTATATATACATTTGATTTAGAGAAATATAATTTTACTAAGATTTTGATATTATTTTCTGTTTTCTATAGAATTTCTATAGTTTTTTTTCTTGAATATTTATGTGTTCAAATATTTAGTTTTTTATTGAAAGTCTTATTGATGTTGTGTACCATTGCATATATAATCTATAATTCACTTTGATTCGCATTTAATTTTGTTAGGAAACTGTAATGATCATGCAAAACCATTTTTTCCTTCTCTATCATGTCTTCCAAAGTTTTATGTTATATTTTTATTCAGTTTTGATTGTTTTAATTGTTAAATCGATTTGTTGTAGGTTTTTTTAAATTGATAATTGATAATTGATAATAGTTACACTTTTTATACATGTATTGATAATTGTTAATTTATTTATACATGTATTGTTAATTGTTAGTTTTTTTATTTAACTTTTAAAATTTTAAACCATATTAACATTTTCTGATTTAATAAATATGTTGATTTGGATCAATCAGATTAAATTTACTTTTTTGACATAATTTTTTAAATTAACTTTTAATGTTTTAGTTATACTTAATAATTTTTGGTTTGATTAAAAAGCTAATGTAGACTAATTAAATCAAGTTTTTTCGTTCTAATCATAATTAGCATTTTTTATTTAATTAATATGTTGATGTGGACTAATCAGATCGAGTTTTTTAATCCCATGTGGATGCCCTCAATGCACTATGCCATCAACTTTTATATATTACTAGGTTTATAACTCACGCTACGCACGAATCTGTATAAATAGCTTAGTTCAGTTTTTTTTAAAGTACTATTTTTTAAATTATCAAAACTATGATATATTTATAAAAAAAATCTTTTATATAAAATAAATTAAAATATGATGTGTACTTTTCTCCTATTTTTATTTATAAAATTTTAAATCTCCTATTATAATTCTTTTTTAATAAGTTTATGTGTTTAAACATTTTTTTATTGAATGTCTTATTGATGTTATGTACATATGCATATATAATTCATAATTCATGTTGATTCACATATGCAAAGTCGTTTCTTTCTTTTTCACCAGGCCATCCATGACTTTTGGCTTATATCTTTTTCAATTTTCATTAAGATCTATTTTTCTATAGTCTAATATTTGATAATTTTTAGTTTTTATACTTGTAGGATTTGTGGTGTGGAGTCTTTGCAATATTTCTTACTATTTTTATATTTTGTGTGCAATCTACATGCTTTGATTTAAAAATTTTATCTATAAATACTAATTTGATTTTGATTCACAAATACTAGTTCTTAACTCTCTCATACTTTATTATTTAAATAGTATTTCATTAATGTGTTACTCATATGCTATTAATGTTGGTTTAGATATAAGTAATGACTATGCATAAAAATCAAATTTTACGACCTGTTAAACTTTGAATGTAAAAATATTTATATTGTGGTTTCTTTGTTAGTTTTTAAAATCAGAAATACCCAATGTATTAATCATTGTATGTTTTACTTCTGTAAACCTATTGAACCTTAGATAATTATTTATTGTTGATATCAATACTTTATAAATTATGAATTTTTTGAAACTAATTTCAAATTAATTTTGTTATAATTTTTTATATATTTTACATCTTTTGATTGTAATTTTATATTTTATCTTAATTTATACAATTTGTTTTGTATGTTTGATATAATTGGGACTTATATTTGTTTTTATTAAGCTTTTTTGTTGGTGATTAACAAAATAGATAACATAGACTTCAAGTTAATTTTCTTAATATGAATATTTTTTTTGTTAAATTTGTTTTTTATATCAATTTTTATTTTAGTTATAATGCTCATTTGACATGTTTTAACTCTTTAATTTGAATTTTATATGAAATTTTCTTGAAATCTTATAGTATCATTTTTTTAGATAAGTTCTTTTATGTTGATTTTTAAAAATGTTAGCCCAAATATCAAGTTAGTAAACTATAACATGTTGAAAGCTTAAAAAAACATTGATGTTTATAAAAATGTTATAAAATGTTTTAATTATGTTATACAAATGTTACAAATGTTTATGTTTTTTATAACATTTATAAAAAAATTGAAACATAAATTTATAACTTGTTGAAAGCTAAAAAAACTTTTTATAAAAACATGTTTAATTTCTCATCATATCATAATAGCCTTAAAATAGTTTAGTTTGATATCTAAAAAAGTTCACAACAGAGAATTAAAGTATGGTGATGTATATGCATGTGAGTGTACTTACCATATCAAATAGTCAGTAGTTGCTTCAATATTTTTGTCAAAAAAAAACATAAACATAAATATTTATAAATTTTATAAATCTTATAATTTATATTTCAAAAATTATAACTTTTTCTTTCAACATGATAAGTTATATTTTTAGTTTTATATCATCTAAAACTATTTCTTCGAATTTGGTATGAAATGTTGATATAATTTTTATGCAATTATTTACCTGGATAATATATAAAATTATAGCATGAATAAATAATTTGTCATTGTATACTATCAATCGACTTACTATTGGGATAAAACAATGTAAATAATATTATTTTTAAAATGGCAAACTATTATTAAAAACTTGTAAGTCTTCTTTAGCGCGAAACTTCTTTATAGTTTACATAGACTTTTAGTCATCTATTACAATATTCTTCTTCCTTTGTCTCTCCATATTCTCATGGTCTCCATAAGCACTCCTTAATTTCAAACTGATTTGGTTTTTATTGTTTTTTTTTAACTTTATATCTATTGATAGTAATGTTATATTTTATTTTAATTTATACAATTTTTTTTGTATACTTGATATACTTATGCCTTATTTTTATATTATTAAGCTCTTTTATTATTCATTTTTAAAATATGTAGCATAGACATTAAGTTAATTTTTTTTATACGAATATTTTTTTTTGTTAAATTTAATTTTTTATTAATTTTCAAGTTAATTTCTTTCTTTTAGATATTAAGTTAATTTTCTTTTATGATATTGATTTTTTTTTTTTAGTTTAACTCCTTTGACATTAAATTTCTATTTAAATTTGAGAGATACAATATTTTACTTTTTTTTAACAAATTTTTTTTTCTATTTATTACTTAAGCTTTTTTATTATGATTTTTACATATATGAAAAGAAATTAATATTTTTTTTTGTTTTTTGTTAATTAATTTATAAGTTAGAAATTTTCTTTATCCATATTATAAGTTTTAGTTTTTACATTTTTTTTTATATTAACTCTTTTGATATTAAGTTTTTATATAATTTTGAAGGATACTATATTTTGGTTTTCTTAATATTTATTTATTTTCTATTTGTTACTTAAAGTTTTTTATTTTGATTTTTCTATATATAAAACAAAATTAATGTTTTTAAAAATAGAAATTAACTTTTAAACGTTTTAATCAAATTTAACATTTTGTGTTTAATAGAAAACACTGAAATGGACCAGTCAGATTGAGTTTATTCATCCTAATCATATTTAACATTTTTTATTTAATGAATATGTTGATGTGTACTAATAGAATTGAATTTTTAAATTCTATGTAGACACCCTTAGAAGTATTTAGTATCAATTTTTATTAGTAATAAATATTATGATGATGCGAAAATTTCAAATGTAAACTTACCATAATGTAAAATATTTCTAGGCCCAATAGTAGAGTAATGGGCCTTCTTGTATATCTTCTTCGTCCGATGGGTTTATTGCATTACCTATTGTTTTTCGAAATCTTATTTGAAAATTGGACCATAGTCGAGATTTTGAGGTATATTTTCTCCCGACCATTAATGTACTTGTATTTTATGTTTAGATGAGAATATAAATTAGTTATAATTTAGTATTTGCCATGTAAGAATTTACAGCCTGTTGTTTTAAAAAAGACTCGGCTTAGATAATGTTATAGCTGATCATTTGTAGTTTATGTATCATATCTTGGATTTGAGAATTTTTGAATTTTTAGTTACGACACGAACTAGGTTAGGTGCTTAACCTCATTCTGTGCGTAAGGTTTTTCACATGTAGTTTTACGTTTTCTCATATAATTTCAATTTTATTGCCATATTAGTCCATTACTATATACATATGTATAAATTGGAACTTACATTTTTATTAAAAAAACTGTATCATCATAAGAAATAGTTTGAGACGATCGATTTATTATTTATGTATGTCATCTCTCTAAAGTAATTATAGTAGCAAGAAAAAAAATATAATAAGACACACTTGCACTATTTAATTAACAATTAACATCCTTCTGTCATTAGTAATTTAGTACATTACGCTCTTTTAATAACATCCGTTCTGTCATGAGTACAGTTTGAAGATCGCTTATGTGAAGCTATAATTTTGTTTCTACTCTTTTAATTTCACAGCCTGAATTCGTTAGCCCTCCAACGGAAAGTTCGTTGAAGTCTGCATCAATTAATTAAGCGACGATAAGTTGGATTTATGTGTAAACCTTAATTTTCTTCTGCCATTGTAATTCAATAATTTAATTATCTGGGAGACTCTTCTCTTTCTGCTTTTTAATTAACTTCGGTTTGGCAGATTAAAAAAATATGAGAACACATGGCCAATATATGAATTTACGCACGTGCATGGAGCACATGCACGTCTACGCGTAGTTAACCAGATGTATACATGCGTCTAACTCACTGATTTTATGTATTTAAAATTATTAAGAGAGAGTTTCAACACCCAAAAAAAAAGTGAATTTTCCTCTATACAAAATTGTTACGCGTAAAGTTAAAGGTATAAAGTCTACAGACAGTATTATCCCAATAATAATATGATATGATATGAATAATAGACCGTTATAACTTCCCTGGCTTGGTGCGATCGTGAAAAACAAGTTAAGGATATTTGAAGAATTGAATAAAAAATATTGAAAGAACATGATTGATTATTTTTAGTCATAAGATTCTTTCCCACGTCGACAGGCAATATTTTGATTTCACATGAGCACTCGCAATGGAGATAACATAATCAAATTCAACACCACCACCTTCTCTTCTAATTTATTTTGGTGATTTTAAATTTATATGATTTTTTTAAAAAGGATTAGTACAAAAGCAACAGTAGAGGCGACTTTATGTTATAACGTGTAGCTTATGATTAATCAAATCAGGGCGGTCGAATAAATCTATAGTGAGTCAAATTGTAAAGGTTGAATCATGTAGATTTCTTTTTGAAGAAAATGTAGATTTCAACTTAATTTGTTTTCTTCGAGTTCAACTTCACTTTATATCGTAAGTAGAAACAAAATCTACATGTTTAACAAAATAATATAGTCCAGAAAAAGCGAAGTAGCTTTTGTTTTCTAAGATAGGTTTATAAAATTATTATCTGAGATTTTGAGTATCTTTTTTTTTTACATTAGTCCACTAAACCATGCAAATTTCTCTTAATTTGAACGCGATAAAGTTTGAGACGGTTTCTTTGAGAAAAAAGTGTAGTGGGTGGTAGAGCAATTTTTTGAAGACTTCAAAGAAAATTAAATTGGTTTTGGAATTAGATCTAATTTCCACTGTTCAAACGATTGGAAAAGAAAATAGAAGTGAGAAACCAAATTAAGAGAGGAAAAAGAAAAAAAAACAGATCACTAATTCTAAAGCTTCTAAATACATCTCATCACCATCACATGCATGCATTTAAGCTTTTGACTTATACTACTTTCCTTACACGAAACTTGTTCCCTTCTTCTAATTTTCAACATAGCCACGAAGCAAACTTGTCGAGACTTCATTGAGTTTTCCAAACAACGAGGTTTATTTTATAATGGCTTAAGTCAAGTCCAAAGAGATTCTTGCTTAAGTGGGTCTTGCAATTGCATTTGCATCTGCATTTGCATTATACTGCTTGGGGAAGCAAAGTTAGAGTTGAACTGCCCAGAAGACATGGCATAACCCAAGTTGTTGCTATTGTTGTTGCTGTTGCAGTTATTGATGTTATTGATGTTGTTGTTGTTGTTGTTTTGTAGTAAGAGAGCTTTGTGGTCTTGGTCTAGTTCAAGTACTTGATGATGAGACTGTAAAGTTGGCTCGTTTTGCATCTGGATGCAGAGAATCTCGGCTTGAGCCACTGCTAGTTGCATTTGAAGCTGTGAGACTTGGTTTTGTAAGTAGGAGATTGCTCCTACGCAGCCATAAACCGGATCTCTAACTCGTGCGTTTGCTTCGAAAACCAAACTGTTCACCGCGTCAGCTCTTTGATGAACCGGTAGCTCCTGTTAACAATTTATACCAACCATGTAACCATTTTTCTTCTATATAACATATTAGGGAGTTCAAAAATGTTCTGATCATTAATTCAGATTGTTTTCAAGCAAAATTAATCAGCCTATTCAGAGTAATAGCAACATAAATCAAGGTTGTTGGACTGAAATAATACTATCTTTAATGTTAATGTTATCAAAGTTTCTATTATGCGCCTATATATATGTCATAGATGCACATGTGTTTAAAAGAAGTTTGATATTATATGTTTTATAAGAAAGGTGGAAAAACTTACAGAAGCATATGAAAAGGAATGTTGAAAGGTTTCAACGGAACAATATATCATAGAAACTATAGAATATAATTATGTGGAAATGGGAATGAAATGGAACCTGCAACATTTTGCTGACGTTGCTTGCGCCGAAGACCTTATGAACAATGGCGAACTTGTGAGGATCGTCAGGAGGGAAATAAGGTGCAAAGATGCAATCTTTTGCACAGCGTCGTCTAAGAAGCTTACACGAAGCACACGGTGATGATCCTGGACCGCCCATCTCTACTATGACCACGATAAAACCGGTCTTGATAACCGAAGTAATAATCGTTACAGCTTACGGATAGAGTTCTCTTGAAGTTTGAGAATAGAGAAAAGGAAGAAAGCAAAGCTTAGAGTTTAAGGGAGAGAGTTTATGAGGTGTGTATTTATAATAGGTTTTTGAAGGCTTTGGAGAGAGCGAGCAGGTTGGTGTTCACATGTGTTCATTTAATTCTAACTTCAAATGTTTTTAGTTATATTAAATTAGTTTACTTAGATATGAAAACACCTATGCTTAGTATTTTTTTGTTCTTCTCACGATAAAGTTACTGTATATTGTTTGGTTGAATCCATTTAGCCATAATATTCCCCTATTATTATTGCGTAGTTGTAAATGAATACTGTTCGCATTATCTTAAACATTTACATTATTTTGTTATTTTACTATTTAAAAGCTCTAAGCTGTTATTGATTTATATATATTCCTCAACTCATCAAATTCTGTGATATATTTATTCTTTTATTATGTTACACAATTTGTTGTCTAGAGAATTAGCATGTTACACGGCTTGGTTATTATTCAATTGAATGAGAAACTTCTTCTTTTTTTGTTATTATGAATTCATGAACCATTTTGGTTATCATATAAAAAGCTTGAAACATGCTTTGTATTGGCCCTTTTCAAAAAAAAAAAAAAAAAAAAAAAAAACTTGGCTCAAAAAAAAATAGACGTTTACAGCGACGTTTTTGATCCTGAGAATGGAGAGGGTAATATGGTAAATTAGGACAGTAGAGTTAGCACCGCAAAGGCGTGTGATAGGTTGGCGTCCGATGCAGTTTGAGAAGTTTCCCCACGTTGTCCTTTGACTCTTCTCTTCTTTCTTTATAACACACGACAGTCGTATATTATTACTAACCTCTTATATTTCTTTATTCATTACTATTTTTAAAAATGTCAAAAATATTAACTAGTCTCTCGATGTCTTAATCTTCTCTCTTTTTAAAATTACAAAAGTCGAGGACATCAGGACAGTGAGATCGGTGGTTACAAGGAAATATAATTATTAGGTATTTAGATAGTGTTATTTGGGACTTTTGAGCTGATAGCATTCAAGCTAATAAAAAACTATGAAGTAGTGTTTCTTTTTTGTTCTATAAAATTTTTTGTTTTAACACATTATATGGGTTAAGAAAATTTTCAAAACACATACATATATTTTTATTTGATATAATAATGACTAAATAGTAATGATTTATATTTAAAGCTTTTTAGTTAGTTTAAATAAAGGGTATAACCGTAAAGGTTTTATTGAATCTGAAAATTTGTACTCTTTCCGTTTTTTTATATAAGATGTTTAAGGTTTTGTACATATTTTAAGAAATTATTTAATTTTTTCTTTTTCTAAAATAAAACATCATTTCCAAAATAATTCAACCAATAAAAATATAATATATAAAATTTAAACAATTAAAATAATTACTTTTTGCATTGATTTTTGAAAACATCATCTAATTATGAACATATTTTTTTCTAAAACATCTTATAAAAGAAAACGGAGGGAGTATTAACAATAAAAAAAAACTAAAACACTTTTTTACATAAACGGATGAAGTAACTAACAATCTCCAACCGTAATAGAGTATCCGTTATAGTCGTAACTGATATATAACTCGTCGTTGTTCTAAACAATTTTAACGAAATTAAAACCATCTAATATATATACATGTGTTAACTTTATCGTCATCACACCGGCCCATCAGTGTTAAGCACCATACTGATGATAGTATGGAACATGTTTTAACGGATAGCATAACTAAAAAAAAATATATATATATACTCCGACTGATCCACTATAGTAGAATCACAATTATAGAACACCATGTACGTTACTTATGTAAAAGTTTCACTTCATGCATTGATTTTTTCGTCGTTGAAAGTTATTATTTATTTTATCAATACACATTATTTTCAGAGAGAAATAACACATCTGAAATTAAAACCAGCTTAATTTTCTATAGTGTGGTAACCAAAAGCACGCATCTCATGAAAACAGTATGGTTATGTGACTTATGTCAATCTTGCATAAATTTTCCACCCTAACGACGTAAATTGAAAATTACCAATACCTGCCATCATGTTGTATTTTATTAATTAAGTATTCTGGGATATAATTTTCACATCAAAAATGAGAAGGAGCCAGCACTATAGTATATACTATAGAGAATGTGAGTTGATTCTTATCTTGATTTTTTTTTATTAGATGTTTAGATATCTATTATTTTAGATCCCTTGTTTTGTGTCATTTTTTTTTTTTGAAAAGGATTTTGTGTTATATTTGAAAATCAAAAATGTCACATTCTAGCTATGTACTCACCCAAGTTTTTTAAAAAAATATAGAACCCATTTATGGCAATTACATGGTTTGAAAAAAGAAATCATATGGCGGCCTATATTTGACTTTTTTCAACACAAAGGAAAACCGAAATGGTTAGGCATTTAATTAATAACATTAAGAATGAAAAGAAAAGAATAGAATATAAGAGAGTGAGAGAAGAGAGAGGAAGTGGGTAAATGTTAGGATAATACACTATGGAAGTGAGAATGACGTGAAACCCTAATTAGGACCGAGAGTCCTTTAGAAATGGCCTCCAACGTGAATGTTTGTTGGCTTGAAAGACATTCACATCAAAACTTCAACCAATCTCTCCTTCACACAACACTCTTTATACTATTAATTAATGCGTACTCACACTATTTTAAACTTTGTAAAGCGATTATGAGAATAATAATGCTGGGTAGGCCCGAGTTCTTATGAGAAGACACTGATTAAATTAAGAATTTGGGATAATTATCATCATTTCATCCCCGATTGTATTATAAAGAAGAAATTTAAAAAATCGGGACAGAATCTCTGCGAAGCATCTTAGGTCAGCGACTTCGATGCTTAAAAAGCAACATTTGTTTTTATCGGATAGCGGAGAGCCAAATTTAATAATGTCTAAACTCCATCTTTGGTGACGAACCTTGTCTTATTTAACTAAAACCAAAATAAGACAAAAAAGAAACCATGGTAAACGCTTCAATTGTTTTATTCGTAATTAAGATATGTTTCTCTAGAAGAAAAAAACAAGCCTAATGTTTTTTCTTGGCACCACAAAATGAAACTAATGTTTATATGGCATTAACGAATGAATGTGGTTTCACACATTTCTAGTAAAACATAAGTTTTGTTGCACAAATGTAGCCAAAAAGTGGTCTTGTTTTTACCATTAACATGAAAACAAGATTATATTTCTTCACATATATACATGAAGTCCATATCGATTATTAATGAAGATTGATGTAGATGTAAAGATTATAATTTTTAGAAATATAGATATATAATTCAAATTTCTTTTTTATTAGAAACTATTCAAACTTATAATATATAAGTGAATGATCATAAATACCGTAAAAACGTATAGTGAACTACAAATTTAAATTTCAATGAAACATACACATATTTCTTATTATTAGGTAGACTTTGGCAAACGTTTCTAAATACCCAAAAAAAAATCATTAAAACATTACATTGCTTATCAATTTAAATAAGTATCTATAAAAAATTTCATGAACAGAAAACAAAAATACCATTGAATTTATCCGTATCGCTTAACGTAATATATGTAATGATATAAATTGCTAAAAATGTATTTTATTGGTCATAAAATAAAATGTTTGCTTGATATGGAGCGGTAGGCTAAGAATTATTTGGTTTTGTTTGTAAACTCTTTGCTGTTAGATTGAATTTTATTCTCAAGTGCTTAATTTAATCTTGAGATTGACATAAACAAAACACAAATAGCTAAATATATGATCGTGTTAATAGTCACGATATAATTATTTCAGGGAAAATTAAATGTTATAATTTCTTGTGATTCATAATTTTTTAGTGATAGAAAAATTATTCTAAAAAGATATTTAGCTTACCATAAACGGTTTAAATGTTATTTTGTTAATATTATGGATGTGGAGTTGACGTCAAAAGAAAAAAATGGATGTGGAGTTTAGAGCTATAGAAGTGATAAATATTATGGGAGATGGAGCATTAATATTTAATCCATAAAATTTCCGCAACAAGACAGACCTTGAACATCGTTTTGAACAACCTAATTAATAACCTAGTTAACGTCCAAAAGTTGTAGATGTAGTTTCTTTACACAGTATTCAAAGACCTAACCTTTTTTGAATCCAAGAGAACAAGTATTTGTGCACTTTTCTTCGATTTTCTAACCAAGACCCATAGATATGACTTCTGTCTACCTACGTACCAAAAATATTACGATCTTTGTCAAGAGAAATAGACTTTGATAAATATTTAGAATTGAATCTTGTTTTTTTTTTTTGTCAACTAGAATTGAATCTTGTTAAATGCTCTTTAAGATCAATATAAATATATTCACGTATATTATTATCAGATGTATAAAAACGATACATGAAAACGATGCGCATCAAACGATAGTATTATACGCTAATCTAAATTGTTTAGCTAATGTTTAAAAAAAATGAGTAAAAATAAAAAATAATCAGTTGCATTTGTTCACACTTCTCTAACAGCAAAAAAAAAAAAAAAGATTTTTGGTTAGAGCAAATAGAAACTGACTATTTTCTAATAAAAAAACAATAATGTTTTCCCTTCTTTTGTTAGATATAGCTGACTAGTTTTATAAAGTCATCAAGACGATTTTTATTTATTTATAAATGTATTATAGTGAATCCCTTATCGAGTAAGCATGAGTAAGCATGAATGCCATGAAACAACATGTCAAATAATGGAATTGTAATTTAATTTTAGCTATTTTTGTATAGGATTTTGTGACCTAATTAAAAGAGATTTTTAGAATTCGTAAACTTTCACACACACACAATTCATAAGAACAAAACTTTAGAAAAAAAAAGGATATTGAACTCAGTCGCTTTTACGTTTACATTTTCGCTTTAATGAATTCATCAGAGAAACTAACTCTGGTTAGTTACAATTTTAACAATTCGGTAATCTTATATTTTTATAGTATATATTAAAATTATGTAAACAGATGAAACTAAATATTAAGAAAAGTCATTATAAAAAATCAGTGATTATTGTGGTTTTTTGGTACTTGTCTATTTCTTTTTTTAACCTTTACTTGTCTACTTGAACTAAAGCAACTCGTTTTTCCTTGGCTTTGAC